GAATTTAGCAGTCTGTATCCATGACCCAGTACATGAGAACAGAAAACGTTTGCAAGAAATTATGCATCAGGTGTCACACTGACTACTTAGTTTCTTATTTTTTTACTAAAGTCAAAGCTTATTTTAACATATCTATCCTACCTCTATGAGCAAATGAAATTCAACTAAGTGATAGAGAAAAATGTAGCATATGCAACGACAATGCCCGTCTGCTTGTTTATATATATATTTTGAAAGAAATTATTTCAAAGAATTATGCAAATTTACAGAACCCTTTTTCAAACGCACAGATCATTTGAAAGAGAAATGCAGCCTCTTGAGGTCAGATTTCCTTGCATGTTGCACCAAATGCCATGTTAAGACAGATTCTCATACCCCATGTATGAAAGGAGAATATAATGAGCTATGGAAAGACTGTTTTGAAGAATGACAGTTAAGGCAGAAGTAATAAAAAGGGTAACATTTGGCAGAGAAAACAGTAGCACCAATATATATCCCATTACCTGATGCTGTTACCAGGAGGCTGTCTGAATCACATGGTCTACAGGATGAGGCACTAACAGGGTGTATGGAGGAGGTACAGGCAATGGTTGTGGGAATGACAGGGGAACTTTCTGAACATGCAGGTTCTTTCCATCCAGGGGACTGGGAAGGCCAAGCACCCACCTGTGATGTGCCTATGGCTGGTATGACACAGCCTGCAGATGCCACAGGTATATCTATAGATGGTTTTGGTGGCAGCTGAGGTGAAGGAGACTTAGACACAGTTTCCTCATTTAATACCCTGAACCCATGTGCTGAAGTGGAAGGAGCAGATGTTATGGGCTTATGTTCAATTTTCCCCCCAATATTTGGTGGTGTTTTTAAGGGAGGATGTGGTGCAGGTGGAGTCTGTGAGAGTCCAGGCTTTTTTTGGAGGTATAGGTGGGGGGTTTCCTCTATCAACTCTTGAAACTGAAGTTGTTTTTAGCGCTAAAGATGAATGGCCACCACGTCCAGCTACGGGTGGATATGTGCCTGTTTCCATTGGGTGGGAAAACCCAGGTCTTATTTGTGCACCAGCCTGAGGACTTGTAAACCTAGAAAGAACTTGAGTCACAGTATTTCTAGCCATTTGTTTTGCAACCATATTCTCACGACTGTTGGGAGACAATTCTCTTGTTTGAGGATTCTGAGTTGTGTTTCCATTTTGGTCATGCTCATTGGCATTTGCCTGAAACTTAAACTTTGCAGCCTGGATGCGAGGACTAACACCTGAATTTAAAGTGGTATTTGAACAAGGTGAATGTAAGCTCTGCATAGACTGAGACAAGTAGCTTGGCGAAGCCGGGGAGGTACAAAATGGAATGTTTGGGTACAAAGAGGAACTGCTTGTTATTTCCGAAGAGCAGCCATTCTCTTCTGTCCTGCTATAATTTGTAGGAAGACCATCATTAGGAGCGGTCGGTCTATCTGCAACTGACTTTGCAAATGCAGAATTTGTGCAAACATTTATCTTTGTGCCACCTCCTATGACATGGTTGACTATGGATGGTTTGGCTGGTATAGTCAAAGGAGGCTTCTTGTTATTTTCAGAGTCACTATCTACTCCTAATGTGTTTGCCTGGCAAGAAACTGATCGTGATCCGGAACTTCCAGGTAAAGAGTGCTTATCTTTGCTCTTCCGCAAAAGTGGTATATTTGCTTTACTATCTTCTTCTCTTGACAACTTCAGTTGTTCAATTATTTTCTTCATCCTGTCAATCTCATCTTGTAGTTCTTTGGTGTGTGCTTCTTCCCGAGAGAGCTTGGCACGGAGATGCTCTCTTTCAGTGTCGAATTCTGAAAGTTGTTTTTCAATTTGAGCCTCCATCTGTGCTTCTATTTGTGAACGGATCTGTTTTTCAGCAGCTAGTGCTTCTTCTAGTTCAGCACCCTTCTTTTTTTTTCAATTCTAACTTTGAAATTGCATCTTCAAGCCTTTGAGCTTCTTCTACTATTTTACTAGACAAAAGTTTACATTCTTTCACTAGAATCAGGACCACGTGTTTATTTTTGGTACGTTCTTCTTCCAGACGAGCCAACAGCTTCTTGTGCTCTTGTTCCAGGTTCTGCAGTTGATTTTTCTCTGCCTCAAGCTGGAAGCAGAAAAGAAGAAAGTTAAAATGTAATTTCATGCATTCAAAATTCCTCTCGACATAAATGTCAACCAAAAATGAGAGAATTTTCGTTACTACCTTTACAATGTGCTTATGCTGGAAACAAATTTGAGTTGCCACAGTAAGGACCCTATCTGCTAAGTAAGGTATAGTGTGTGGGAATTATTTCCCATTAGCATTCTAAGCAGCTTCAGCCATCATCTAACACAAGATACATCAGCCTGATCCTAGGGTAGCTTGACAACCAAAGAATTGTCTTGAAAGGTTCCCCCTAGCCTGGCTACCTGTTATGCACATTATAGTTAGTCTACTGAATGTGTTTGCCAATAGCTAAAGACCAAAACCAAGGTTAAAACAGAAGTACCGTATTTGCCGGCGTATAAGACGACTTTTTACCCCTTGAAAATCTTCTCTGAAGTCGGGGGTCGTCTTATACGCCGGTATACGGCATACTGACACTTTTTAGGGGGGGCGGCGCGGTGCCGCCGCCCCCCCCTTCTAACGGAAGGGACACTAAGTACAGGGGTGGGCAGGGGCTGTTTCTTACCTGGCTCCGGTCCCACGACGATCTGGTCCAGGAAGCGCAGCTGCTCCTTCAGTTCGGCCACTGGATGTTCGGGCGGCTGCTCAGCTCCGCCTCCTCACCACTGATTGGCCGCCAGAACTGTAGCTCAGGAAAGGCACACAGGCGGCCCATCACCGGCGAGGGGGCGGAGCCGAGCGGCCCCACGAAAATCGAGTGCAGGAGCAGCAGGTAAGTGTTCAGTGTAGAGGTACTGCTGCAACCACATATGCTGGCTGCAGCAGCACCATACTAGAACAGGGTCAGCAAGTGTAATTGGTGTCAGTGGGAGGAATAGTGCCCCATCATTGGTGTCACTGATACCAATGATGGAGCACTATTCCTCCCACTGACACCAATGATGGGGCACTATTCCTCCCACTGACACCAACGATGGGGCACTATTCCTCCCCCCACTGACACCAACGATGGGGCACTATTCCTCCCCCCCACTGACACCAACGATGGGGCACTATCCCCCCCCCACTGACACCAATGATGGGGCACTATTCCACCCCCCACTGCCCCACTGACACCAATGATGGGGCACTATTCCACCCCCCACTGACACCAATGATGGGACACCATTCCTCCAACTGACACCAATGTTGGGACACTATTCCTCCCACTGACACCAATGATGGGGCACTATTCCTGCCACTGATACTAATGATGGGGCACTATTCCCCCACTGATACTAATGATGGGGCACTATTCCTGCCACTGATACCAATGATGGGGCACTATTCCCCCCACTGATACCAATGATGGGGCACTATTCCTCCCACTGACACCAATGATGGGGCACTATTCCCCCCACTGATACTAATGATGGGGCACTATTCCTGCAACTGATACCAATGATGGGGCACTATTCCTCCCACTGATACCAATGATGGGGCACTATTCCTGCCACTGACACCAATGATGGGGCACCTATTCCCCCCGACTGATACTAATGATGGGGCACTATTCCTGCCACTAATGCCAATGATGGGGCACTATTCCTCCCACTGACACTGATGATGGGGAACTATTCCTCCCACTGTTTTGCATTGGAAGAGGGGTAGTCTTATATGGCGAGTATAGCCCAAACACTACATTTTAGCAGGAAAAGTAGGGGGTCGTCTTATATGCCCAGTCGTCTTATACGCCGGCAAATACGGTATCCTAAAAACACACTCCAACAGATGAAGTGTTATTTTCCAAAAAAGCAACATCATATTTACAATTAAAATCTGTCACTTGGATTACTTCTTGCATATACTGTCATACCAAATTTCAAATAGAAGACATCCTAACTTTACATATATCCTGACACATACTCAGATGAATTAGTATCTGATAATCTTTCTAAACAGTAAATGGATTTGCCTTATCCCTCCCAAAGAAGAAGTTACACAAAATTTGTCCTTGAAGAGGTTAACTTGTCTACTGTAGGTTTTTCTTGGCAAACTCAAAGTAAACAATAATGAGAGAACACCAAGTTTTGAATGACCAGCTATGGATCCAATTACGTTGACCTACGAAGTAGCAAACGCTAAATCTGACAGAGCTATTGTTAGTCTTGCTCTTGCAGCAAAAAAGAATAAGCTTTTCAAACTCTCATATGCCATTAGTCTTCTTTTGCAACTTAACACAGCACACAGAAACAGATCTCAGTCATGAAATGGTTCACTTGCTTTAGGTATTGCCAAGTACTTCTTGGAGAGTAAAACAATGTCAACAATAATAAATGTTTTAAAATAATTATTAAAATGTAATGCGATAGACTATGAAAGTGTATGTCTAGGCAAAAAAAAAACAAAAAACTTTTGCAGTACAACCCCATTTGGTCTCTTCAAAAACACAGCAAGTGCAGAAAAATATCTGTTGATATAGCTGTCCTGCTATAAATCCAGTGAGCTACTCACTTCTTGATTGAGCTGTCAACTATGTGGCAATATAATCCTAAGCAGTATTAACCAAGAAGCATAAGGACAATGCAATAATTAAAAATGTTTTATATATATATTTAAATTATTGCATTATCCTTATGCTTCTTGGTTAATACTGTTTAGGATTATAGTGCCACATAGTATACAGGGCTTAAAATTTCAAGTCCTGAGCTACTAGCCAGGCCTTCAGAGTTACTCACCATCAACAAACACACACAAACAGAGACACCTGTACACACACACAGACATGTACATACACAAACATACACACTCAGACACATGTACACACACGCATAGAGACACATGTACACACACACACACACATACAGACGCATGTATACACACACACATACACACAGATACATGTACATACACAGAAATACACACGCACAGACATGTACATACACACAGACACATGTACATACATACACAGATACATGCACGTACATACACACAGACACATGTACGTACATACACACAATGTACACACACACATACTTGTACATACACGCAGAAATATGTACAGATACACACATGTACATACACATAGACACATGTACATGCATACACAGACACACACAAAAACTCACACACATGTACACACACACACATGCACGCATGATGTTATGTGCTCTCTCCTCTCCCCTGAAGCCACCACTGGCTGACATAGAGGATCATGTGACCAGAGTGAGCTGAAATTAGGTAGACACACACCCCTATAAAAAGTTGCAGTACTTCGTTGTTCACTCACAGAGTCGGGTACTGCACTCTAAGGGGAGGCAGAGAGCACAGCACACTCCTTCCTTTGCTTTCACTGCGCTCAGCTATTGAGCAGTCTGACGGCTCCCAGTGCCAATGAGAGATCTGGCCTGAGCTCAGAGCCTGCTCAGCAAGATGGCCCTGGGGTACACACTCTCCCCCACCATAATTTCCACTCGTTATTGGCGAGCAGAGTGGAAATTTCAAGTCCTGTGTATATATATATATATATATATATATATATATATATATATATACATATACATACTGTATGTATGTTTGTGCTGTTCTTGTGTGTCTAACATACCTAAACACATGCATGAATTTAAAAAATCAGGACCAGACCGTATAGCAAGGCAGGTGTAAACCAGGAACTTTTAGGTCTGCTCACCAGAGCATCTAGGATCTTTCGTTCCTGTGCTGTATGTGTCAGTCACAATGAAGCACAGGTGGAGAGCACCAAAAAAAACACTCACACAAAATTATCTTAGAGCACAGCGCAGCAATTACAGGTAACACATTATTGTAGGTGCATGGCTTAAAATTAACCTTTTTAAAACTTAAAAGGGGGGGCTAATATTAATGTTAAGGTTTTGAAGGTGCATGGTGTCATTTGTATCCTTCCTTCACTAATAAGTCACTGGCTTAAACAACCACGTGCATATTACATTTCCTGACAATTTGATCGAGTTCAGTGACTCACCAAGTAGAGAACTGCAATTGAGAGACAATGCAATTATGTATATAGTTTATAGTACTGCTTGTACTGTATATGTACTGTGGCAGGGTGGCCCCTGCAGGCACAGCAACAGACCTGTATATCGCTGCCTGTTTCCGGGTTACAGGCGCACACATGCACCCCTACCTGCCTACTCCCCTGTGATCTGACACAGTGGGAGTTTGTCAGCAGATCCCAGCCAATGATTCATGGCCAGGACCTGATGCAAAGAAGGGAAAAGAAACAAATCAATCTGTAGTAAAAAGCAGCACACATTTAACCCCTTGATTACCTCTAGATGTTAACCCCTTCCCAGCCGGCATCATTAGTACAGTGACAGTGTATATTATGAGCACTGATCACTGTATTAGTGTCACTGGAGATGCCAGTGGCAGTTAGTAAGTTCCCATAAAGTGTCAGTTAGTGTCAGATTGCCTTCCGCACTATCACGGTCACACTATAAGTCACTGTATAGAAAAAAAGTTGCTGGTATATAAAAAAAATGCCAATACCATAATTTATAGATGCTGCAACTTTCAGGCAAATCAATTAATATACACTTATTGGGATTTTATTTTTTACCAAAGACGTAGCAGAATACATTTTGATCTAAATTTATGAAGGAACTGTATTTTTTTTTTAATTTTTATTGAATATGTTTTATAGCAGAAAGTAGAAAATATTGTTTATTTTCAAAAATTTCATTCTTTTTCGTTTATATATATAAAAAAGATTAAAAAGTCAGTAGTGATCACATACCTCCAAAAGAAAGCTCTATTTGTGTGCAAAATAATAAATGTAATTTTGGTACAGTGTTGCATGACCGCACAATTGCCAGTTAAAGTAGCACAGTGCCGAATAGCAAAGAATGATCTGGTCATGAAAAGGGTAAAATCTTCCAGATTGGAATGCTTGGTAAATGAATGTCTCAGATATAAATACATTACTCGTATTTGTAGAATGTAGGGCTACCTTAAAGTATAAAAAAAGGCTAATTACTCAAACAGGAAGTGAGAGGAAATCCTCCAATGGGGAAACCTGTTCTGCTGCCTAACATTGTATTACCCTCCTTGATTTGGAGACATCCCTTTCCTGCTGGGTTTTAGGAACAGGTGAAGTTAAGGGAAATTTCCCTGGTGGAATACAGACATATCAAGAAATAAAGCCCAAAAAATGGCTTTACACTTTAAAACAGACGTAAGTTAAGGAGAGGAAATATGCAGTAGTCCCTGTCCCTGGAGTGCTCATTCCATCCAAATATGGTGGTAATGCGAAAAGTAGTAAGAAGATAAGAATGAACCCAACTTTTTTTGAGAGTACAGAGTTTTGTAACAGCTTATTTAACATAACCGTTTGTCCCTTCCACTGTTTCTGAAGTTAAGCAAAATGACAGACCACATTATACTAAATGCTTGTGGGCAAAACAAACTGCATTTCATTCAATATGAATTTGTTATTTCTTTTATTAATTATTGAAATGGGTATGCTGAAGGTATTTCCATGCATCATGTTAAAAAAGATGCCAAAGCTATGATTCTAGACTGTACAAATTGGCAAACAATCAATAGCATCTTGCACTAGTCTCTTCAGTAAACTGAATTCCGATTGGTTACTGTTTATTACATCAATTTGCACTATCTATTGAACAAGCCCTGCTTGTAAGTCATCTTGTATCTGCAACCAACTTGTAGGATTAACTGTACTGCAAATTAAGTGACTGCCAACATAAGGAAAAATATATTGGTAGCAGGTGAGCAAAATTACTCTCTAGTTTTAGACATACTTAAGAACAGATCTGCACCATTATCATTTCCTTTAGAAATTCGCCCAATATGAAATCCTGTAAAAAGTGCACATTGTCTGTTTTTAAAGTAAACATTTAAGAAACATGGGTGCTTTTAGATATGCACATACACCCTGGGTTGATGATCAGGAGTTGGGCCCCGCTCCCCCCCCCGCCTCACATTTGGTCCTTTATGGAGATAGGAGCCTCACTAACCAATTATAGGGCTCAGCAGATGGGAGGGGTGGGGCCAGGTTCCTTACAATATGTACAGGAAACTTTGCATATAAAAATGGAACCCAGGCAATGGCAGGCATGCTTACACTGAAAACACAGTGATGTCTGGATACCCAAATGCCTGCAATAAGCTGAGACCATTGGTTTAGTCAAGTATGGTACCATTCTCATCTGCTTTAAACCATAATTTATTCGATCTAAACATCTTCACTTGCCTTTCTTTGTCTTCTTTCAGCAGCAGCAAGTTGAGCAGACATCCTTTCTTGCATCTTCCTGCAGTGTGCCATGACAGCTTCCAAGATAGTGAGGGGATTGCTACAAATAGGCCTCTTTTCTTTATCAACAGCACCTGCTTCAAAGTCTCGCTGAAGAGCAAGGAAGGGATCTCCAAGATTAAATCTTCCATATCGTTCTTGAACAAAAACTTCCTTCCTCCGTGCCTTAAAAATAGAAGAGAAAAATTTAATCCATGCAGCATCTTATCCCCTTATGCAGTATCATTCTCCAACTCCTAATGCATACATGCAACTGTAAATATGGAGAAACCATTGTGTACGTTTGGGAATAGCAATTAGACCTCAGCAGAAACCTTTTTGCTAAATAAACTCTTTGCTAAGTAAATGTAATGCCTGATTGGGATACCTTAAGATAAGAGACAAGAATGTCCACAAAGTATACGAAGAAGTACCCTTATGTAATATGTACAAACACATCTAATTTATATTTCTTATGAGGAACAGTTGGGTGGCAGCAATATCAAGCATGCACAACTGATATCCAGCATCTATGACCATCTTAAAATGTATGTCTAGCCATTTTTTTTTACTTTGAGGAAGGAAAAAACCTTTTGGCTGGACATAAACTTTAATTCTTAGTTAACACTGATATGCGGATCTAACATGCTATAAAAATGTGAAGTACAGGACATAATTTCCTATAACCATATTAAAGTAAATCTATAGCGATACAAATATGGAGGTCTGCCATAGTATCCCTTTCTGAATTGTAAATGCTTGGCTACCAGGTTGACCCTCAGGCTTCAAATAGTTACTTACCATAAACAAGTAAACAGAGCAAGAATGTCACAGTAAAAGAACTCTTAAGCATATGTGTTCCAGGCCAGTAACTCGAAATACTGACTGAAGAAGGTCAGCATAGCAGCCAGACAAACAGCATTTCTGAAAAGGTTAGCATGACATCCTGTATGTTTTACTTATAACAGATGTACTTTAAATACTAGCTACCTGAGAGGCTCAATTTTGAAATGAAAAGTCACTGTGAATCTGTGTTGTTCATCATTGCCCTGAAGCTGTATCTCATAATGAAAATGCATGAATCTATCCATGTAAATCACCAAAAAATATGTTCTTAGCATTAAAAAATAAACCTTGGCCATGCTGGTCTACTACAACCTGGTAGCAGAAGCTCAGTGCATGAACCTAGTGACTTTCTTAGTTCATTGACTGAAAGGTTACATAGTGCACTGCGAACCAAGTGATTTTTTTTTTAGCACAACCTAGGTTTGGTCATACACACAAATTGTCAAATTTGATAGACAAATATTTACCATACAAGCTAATAAACATGTGGTATCACATATATTATTAGTACAATTATATTTGTCATCCTGACTCAAAAGATCAACATTAGTACTGGAAATAAGCAGAGAGCCTAATCTACCAGAACACCTCTAAACTGTAAGCAAATGTGGTCAGCGTAAAATTCTTCAATATATGTAGCCAGGTTGTATGCCCTTTGTAGCATGATCCTCAAGATAATTTAGATGCACAGCACTGTGAAACATATGGGTTTATAAATAAATTCTAGCAGTTATGGGACACATCTATTTTTTGTTGGACAGGCAGCAAACTATTTTATCTGTAATCTTTATTTTATCTTTTTATCTTTAACATTAATCGGAAGCATGACTACCAGTGTGAATCACTGACTGTACCATCAAAAGAAAGAAAAATGTGTTATAGGCAAGAAAAGAATTCAAAATGCATTATAGTAAACGGCATGTTCTGTATACTACAATAAATGCTGACCTTGACCGCATATGGTTTCAGAAATAGGGGTTTGCATTACATAAAACACTTTTCATTGTGAAGGCCAGGTTCTATTCAAGTAAAAGCAAAACAGGAAACTATTGTACATATGTATTTATGACACAGAATGTGAGCACACCATCTGTCAACATTCTCAGATTCTGGTAGCTGAATTGCCCAAATGATGTGTTAATTACTCAAATACATTTAAAAATTCTGTAAATATGCCCGTAGTTTTAAAAGAAAGATATTCTTATAGTTTTCTAGAGGTTTATAGACATCTGTTTATAATGTGCTTTTCCACAATAAAAGGACCACATTGACAGGTGTAGGCATTTAATTATATTTTATTTGGGAAATGCACAAAGAAAATGTGTTTTTATCATACTGGATGAAAAGACAGCCATGAATTGTGAATTCAAGATTGAGCATT